AGCATGTTAATTAACAAAATCAGAAATGAAAAAGGGGACATAACAATGGACTCTGAGGAAATCTAGAGAATCATCAGGGCATACTTTGAAAATCTGTACTCCACAAAATTCGAAAATTTAAAGGAAATGGACAATTTCCTGGCTAGGTATCACTTGCCAAAACTAAATCGAGAGCAGATAAACCATCTAAACAGACCTATAACCCCTAATGAAATAGAAGCAGTCATCAAAAGTCTCCCAAACAAAAAAAGCCCAGGCCCCGATGACTTCAGTGCAGAATTCTACCAGAAATTCAAAGAAGAGCTAATTCCAATACTCCTCAAAGTATTCCACACAATAGAAGCAGGAGGCTCACTGCCAAACTCTTTTTACGATGCTACAATTACCTTGATAGCCAAGCCACACAAAGACACAACTAAGAAAGAGAACTATAGACCAATTTCCCTCATGAACATCGATGCAAAAATACTCGCAAACCAGATTCAAGAACACATCAGAAAAATCATCCACCATGATCAAGTAGGCTACATCCCAGGAATGCAGGGATGGTTCAACATTAGAATATCTATCAATGTAATCCACCATATAAACAAACTGCGGAAGAAAAACCACATGATCATCTCACTAGATGCTGAAAAAGCCTTTGACAAAATCCAGCACTCCTTCATGATAAAGGTCCTAGAGAGATCAGGGATAACAGGAACATACCTGAATATAATAAAAGCAATATACAGTAAACTGACAGCTAACATCAAACTAAATGGAGAGAAACTCAAAGCAATTCCTCTAAAATCAGGAACAAGACAAGGCTGTCCACTCTCTCCATATCTCTTCAATATTGTACTTGAAGTTCTAGCTACAGTAATAAGACAACAAAAGGAGATAAAGGGGATACAAATAGGAAAAGAAGAAGTCAAACTTTCACTATTTGCAGATGATATGATAGTTTACATAAGTGACCCGAAAAACTCCGCAAGGGAACTTCTAGAGCTAATAAACCCCCTCAGCAATGGTAAACTCAAAAAAAAAATCAGTGGCCCTATTATATACAGATGATGAAGTGACTGAGAAAGAAATCAGAGAAACATCACCCTTTACAATAGCCATAAACAGCACCAAATATCTGGAGATAATATTAACCAAGAAAGTGAAAGACTTGTATATCAAGAAGTTTGAGTCTTTAAAGAAAGAAATCAAAGAGGATACCAGAAAATGGAAATATCTCCCATGCTCTTGGATAGGTAGGATCAACATAATAAAAATGGCAATCTTGCCAAAAGCAGTCTACAGTTTCAATGCAATCCCTATCAAAATTCCATCACAATTCTTCAAGGACTTGGAAAGAACATTAATCAACTTTATATGGAAAAACAAAAGGCCCAGGATAGCCAAAACAACCCTATACAATAAAGGAACTTCAGGAGGCATAACCATACCTGACTTCAAGCTCTATTATAAAGCTATAGTCCTGAAAACAGCTTGGTATTGGCACAAAAATAGGCAGGTAGACCAATGGAACCGAATTGAAAACCCTGATATTCACCCACACATTTATGAACACTTGATTTTTAACAAAGAAGCTAAAACTATACAATGGAAAAAAGAAAGCATCTTCAGCAAATGGTGCTGGCATAACTGGGTACTGGTATGCAGAAGACTGCAGATAGATCCATGTTTATTGCCTTGTACAAAACTTAAGTCCAAATGGATCAAAGATCTCAACATAAATCCAGCTACACTGAAACTTTTAGAAGACAAAGTGGGAGATACTCTTCAACGAGTTGGTACAGGAGTCCACTTCCTAAACATAACACCAGTGGCACAAACACTGAGATTGACAATTAACAAATGGGACCTTCTGAAACTAAAAAGCTTCTGTAAGGCAAAGGACACAGTCAACAAGACAAAAAGACAGTCCACAGAATGGGAAAAGTTATTCACTAACCCCACATCTGACAGAGGACTAATCTCCAAAATTTACAAAGAACTCAAGAAGCAAGTCTCCAAAACACCAAAGGATCCAATTAAAAGGTGGGGTACAGAACTAAATAGAGAATTCTCAATAGAGGAGGCTATAATGGCCAAGAGACACTTAAGAAAGTGCTCAACATCCTTAGCCATCAGGGAAATGCAAATCAAAACAACTCTGAGATACCATCTTACTCCTGTCAGAATGGCTAAAATCAAAAACACTGAAGACAATTTATGCTGGAGAGGATGTGGAGAGAGGGGAACACTCCTCCACTGCTGGTGGGAGTGCCAACTCGTACAGCCACTTTGGAAAGCAGTATGGAGATTCCTCAGGAAAATGGGAATTAATCTACCACAAGACCCAGCAAATTCATACAACAAGGGCATCTGCTCCACTATGTTCATAGCAGTATTATTTGTAATAGCCAGAACCTGGAAGCAACCTAGATGCCCCTCAACTGAAGAGTGGATAGAGAAAATGTGGTACATTTACACAATGGAGCATTACTCAGCAGTAAAAAACAATGGAATCTTGAAAGTCGCAGGTAAATGGATAGCACTGGAAGAAACCATCCTGAGTGAGGTAACCCAGTCGCAAAAAGACAAACATGGTATGTACTCACTCATATATGGATTTTAGACATGGATCAGGATAGTGCCAGTCTGCACTTCCACTGATAGAGAGTCTGGGAAACAGGAAAGAACCTAAAAGATATGCATATATGCATAGTACCCAATAGAAGAGGATTGAGACAAGATCCTCTGAATGGATGGGGAACACGGCGAGGGGTGGGGAGGGAGTGGGAGCTGGGAAGAAGAGAGGGGGTGAAGAGGAAGAGAGTTGGTCATGGGGGAACAGGAAGTTGAGTGGGTGGGGGTAGAATAGGGGGAAGAGGGAATCATAGGATAGAAGACAGATCAGGCAACAGAATGACCTCGAGTGATCTAAAGGGATAACACCAATTGGCAAGCTAAGCAATAGTGGAGAGACCACCTCAAATGCCCATTCCTGATAATGAACTTGATGTCTATAACCATCCGGGAGCCTTCATCCTGTGACTGATGGAAGCAGAGGCAAACACACAACTAATCACTGAACTGAACCCAAGAAACCCAGTGACAGAGAGAGAGGAGTGATGAGCAAATTGGCAAAGAATGGGCTGGTAAAACCAGCAGAGACAGCTGATCTGAACAGGGGAGAGCTCTTGGACCCCAGACCGACAGCTGGGAGGCCAGCATGGGACTGAACTGGACCCCCGAATGTGAGTGTCAGTGAGAAGGCCTGGGCAACCTATGGGGCCCTGAGCATTGGATCAGTGTCTATCCCTGGAATACAAACAGTCATCGTGTGCCCATAGCACAAAGAGGGATGCTCTCTCAGCGTGGACTCTTAGGGGAGTGCCTGGACCCTACCCTGAGGGAAATGTCAGACACTAGATATCCCCTATGTGGAAGGAATTGGCAATAGGGTGGGAGGCTGGGGGGGATGGGAAGTGCGGGAGGAGTGGAGGGAGAGGGAAATGGGATTCACATGTAAAACAAGCTATTTAAAATAAACAAAACAAAACAAAACAAAACACCATTGACAGTTTATGCTGGAGAGGATGTGGAGAAAGGGGCACATTCCTCCAGTGCTGGTGGGAGTGCAAACTCATACAGCCACTTTGGAAATCAGTATGGCGGTTCCTCAGGAAAATGGGAATAAGTCTACCACTAGATCCAGCAATTCCATTCTTGGGCATATACCCAAAGGATGCACATTCACGCCTCTAATAAGTCACATGTTTAATGGCGGCATCAGACTTCCTCCTACACAGCTATGTTCATAACAGCATTATTTGTAATAGCTAGGACCTGGAAGCAACCTAGAAGCCCTTCAACTGAAGAACAGACAAAGAAAATGTGGTACATTTACACAATGGAGTACTACTCAGTGGAAAAAACAAAGCAATGTTGAAATTCCCAGACAAATGGATGGAACTAAAAGAAACAATCCTGAGTGAGGTAACCCAGTCACAAAAAGACAAACATGGTATGTACTCACTCATATATAGATTTAAGACATAGAGCAAAGGAATACCAGTCTAAAATCCACACTGCCAGAGAAGCTAGGAAACACGGAGGACCCTAAGAGAAACATATAATGTCCCCTAGAAAAGTGGAAAGGACAAGATCGCTTGAGCTAATTGGGAGCATGGGGATAGGGGAGAGGGAATTAGGAGAAAGAGAAGGGGAGAAGAGAAGGAGGGAGGAGAACATGAGGGACCAGGAAGATTGAGTCAGGAGAAGAATAGAGGAGAGCAAAAAAAGAGATACCATAATTGATGGAGCCATTATAGGTTTGAAAAGAAATCTGGCACTAGGGAAATGTCCACAGATCTACAAGGATGACCCCCAACTAACAATGTAGAAATCCTTCCTATATTTGTACAGTCCTGGTATGTTGCACCAGTATGTGTTCCCTCGAGTTAAGACCTGACCTGGGGAAGAACATTTTCAAACATTCTTAACACTCATCAGCCTCACCAGCATGCATTCCCTGATTCAAGTGAGGACTAACAGTATATAGCAGATTTCATGCTAGAGTTTCTCCTATGAGGCACTCTTATAGAGAGAGACCAGAGGCAGGGAAGAAACATTTCATGCATTCTTTATGCTCCCAGACTTTACCTACCTGAGATCAGTGAGGCACAAAGGGGGCCAACTGAAACTACAAAGTTTCCACATGTTACTTACAATCTCAGGATTTCTCCTCGAGTGAAATCTGACTTTGAAAGAGAGATGACTCCCAGGGAGAGGCTCTTCTGCGTTAGTAAGGGCCTTCTTACCTGCATGACTCCCAGGGAGAGGCTCTTCTGCGTTAGTCAGGGCCTTCTTACCTGCATGACTCCCAGGGAGAGGCTCTTCTGCGTTAGTAAGGGCCTTCTTACCTGCATGACTCCCAGGGAGAGGCTCTTCTGCGTTAGTAAGGGCCTTCTTACCTGCATGACTCCCAGGGAGAGGCTCTTCTGCGTTAGTAAGGGCCTTACCTGCATGAGTCGCCTGGTGTCGACTTAGTTTTGACTTGCTGTAGAAAGCTTTCAGGCATTCTTCACATTGGTAGGGTTTCTCACCGGTGTGAGTCCGCTGATGTAAAGTGAGGTTTGACTTGTTGTAGAAAGCGTTCTTACACACTTTACATTCAAAGGGCTTCTCACCGGTGTGAATTCTCTGGTGTGCAGTGAGGTTTGACTTCTGCCAAAAAGCTTTCTTACATTCGTCACATTCATAGGGCTTCTCACCCGTATGGGTTCTCTGATGTCGAGTGAGGTGGGACTTGTAAAAGAAAGCTTTCTTACATTCTTTGCATCCATAAGGCTTCTCTCCTGTGTGAGTTCTCTGATGTAAAGTGAGAAGCCACTTCCGGCGGAAGGTTTTCTTGCACTCTTCACACGCATAGGGCTTCTCTCCCGTGTGAGTTCTCTGGTGTTGGATGAGATGGCACTTGTGGTAGAAAGCTTTCGGGCACTCTTCACATGCGTAGGCCTTCTCTCCTGTGTGAGTCCTCTGGTGTCGAAAGAGATGGGACTTGTGGTGGAAAGCTTTCCGGCACCGTTTGCACTCGTAGGTCTTCTCTTTAGTTTCAGTTCCCTGGTGTTCTGTGAGCGTTGGCTTCTCATGGACAACTTTACAACAGTGCCTACACTCACAGGGCTTCCCACACCCGTGGTTCTTCTTGTGCAGCGGCCTCTGGCAGTGTGTTTCCACACATGAACTGGATTTCTCTCCTCGCTGAATTTCCCACTGAGCCTTCAGCTGTGCCTTAAGAAAGAAGAATTTGTTTCATTCATTGCACACACTGTCCTAACATGGCTTCCTCATGTTTTGTAAGGTAAGGTGTGATTTTTGTTTATCCAACAAGTTTCATCCTTAAATTAACCGTGTTTTGAGCAATAAATGCTATTTAACAAAGGATTCAAAAAATTCCTTGAAATAAGTAGGTCTCTTGAATATGAAGTTCCTTTATTGAATATTACTTTGTATAGAAAGATCCTAGTTGAATATATTAAATATGGCAGGATGCTCTTTTATTCTTGTTACAGGAACCACGATGTATAGAATATGGGAGGAGTTTCTCTGTTTCATCATTGGGTTCTTCTGCAGCCTGCACGGTACAGGACTCAGTATGGAGAAGTAGTGTGTTCTGACATGAGAGAAATTAAAAGGAAGCCTCCCCAGACAGTTCTACTCTTCTTGTTCCGATTACAAGTAGTCTGAGTCCACATTAAAGATTTTACTTACTTCAGCCACTTCTTCATTTGATACACTGCTGCTGGTGGTTTTCACTTCATACCAATGACTTTCTTCATTTCCCTGGATGGTCTCAATCGGGACACATGCTTTTTGAACACCAAAAATAATATAAAAAATCATTAGCCACAAATAATCCTATTATTTATTCATTTCAACATATAGTGTCTTAGTGTCCTCATGTAAATTTTATGACAACATTGGCTGGGAGAAATTATTCTTTTTATTTGTTTGCTTTGAGACAGGGTCTTTCTGTGTAGCCTTGGCTGTCCTGGAATTCCTGGAACTCACAGAAATCCATCTGCTTTTACTTCCCAAGTGCTGGGCTTAAAGGTGTAGGCCACCACCGCCTGGCTGACAATTTATTCTTAAATAAATTAGGATGACTGTGGCTGAGAAGGTGGCTCAGTGACTGGTGTTGGCCACGCATGCATGAAAACTGGAGTTCACATCCCCATAAGACAGGCAGGCTAGATTAAACATTGGTAATTCTAGGCTGAGAAAGCAGAGATAAGAGAACCCTAGGGAGATGTGGCAAGAGACCTTAATGGATAAACTGGAAGAGCACTAAGGATGGTCTGGGTATCACACTCAGTCATCCACAGTGAGAATTGCCACGCCTTACACATCTCAAGCATCCTGAGCATTTTTTCTCAGTGCATCTGCACTTTCAGTTTCCATGCCTGCTCTCGTGAAAAAGAAAACAAACAAAAACAAAATGCAAGCCTCTACATAGGAACTGTCAGTGTCCCCAGCCTCTCTGATTTCTGATGACTTCTTTTCAGTTTCCTAGTGTACAGGATGTCTACTTTTAGAATTCCAAGAGATGTGGTTAAACGCAACCAATTTCTTCTCCAAGGCCAGTCTGCTATTAAGAAACCCACACTGCTTGATTCAATGGTCAGAACCACTGCTTATCAGGTGAACAAAATCCAAGTGTTGAATGACTATGTAAACAAACATGCAATAAAAATCAACTTTGTAAGCAGTAAAAAAAACCCTGCTAAGTACACAAGGAGGAAACACAATTGGAAATTGCTTAAAGCACAAAATTTGCCTAAGATATACACAGGGTGAGATTTTTGTCAAGTCTGTGTGCGTGTCTGTGCGTGAGTGTGTATGTGTATGTGTGTGTGTGTGTGTGTGTGTGTGTGTGTGTGTGTGTGTGTGTGTGTGTGTGTGTGTGTGTTTCTATTTCACCAGGCAGTGGTGGTGCGCGCCTTTAATCTCAGCACTCAGGAGGCAGAGGCAGGGAGACTTCTGTTAGTTCAAGGTCAGCCTGGTCTTCAGAGTGAGATCCAGGACAGCCAGAGTCTATTTCATAGTGAAACCCTGTTGTGAAAAATGAACCAGATATTCAAACAAAATCTAAAATAAATCACCCCCCCCATATGGGGTAATTGTATCAACAAGACTAGCAAGTTGGCTAGATAGGGAGACCTCTCTAAGGACTGAAAACCCATATGGCTGGGTCATATGACCAGCTCTCTTCAGGGTTGACTATGAACAATCCCCAGCCATCTCTCTCCTGGTTTACCTCCTTTGCCCAGCATACATTCACAGACCTCGAACATTCCAGACTGAGGCTTCTGCTTTGCACCAAGGCCCAAATCCCTGCTCCAACTTGAAGATCAACTCAGGTTTGGTTGTGCAGTGCCCTGTAAATGGGGGATCATACAGAGATGGCGGTAAAGTGCTATCAAATCCTCTGAAGAAAGACATCAACCCCAGTTTTGATTGGGGCTATGGTGGATGCACTCAAATTTGTTAGCTTTATAGTCATGTTCTTCACTGTCTGGAATATTACTCTCAAGTAACATTTATGTTAGCTTTATAGTCATGCTCTTCACTGTCTGGAATATTACTCTCAAGTAACATTTATGTTAGCTTTATAGTCATGTTCTTCACTGTCTGGAATATTACTCTCAAGTAACATTTATGTTAGCTTTATAGTCATGTTCTTCACTGTCTGGAATATTACTCTCAAGTAACATTTATGTTAGCTTTATAGTCATGTTCTTCACTGTCTGGAATATTACTCTCAAGTAACATTTATGTTAGCTTTATAGTCATGCTCTTCACTGTCTGGAATATTACTCTCAAGTAACATTTATGCACGATAAATTGTGCAACATAAGTTTTAAAATTTTAATAAGCAGATGAAAAGAAGAGACAAGAAGATGAAGTTGACAGGGCAATTTGTTGTGGAATATTAAGATGTGTTATATTTGTTTAATGATGTAAGGATGTGTTGTATTCTTTTATGTTGCATTTGTTTAATTGTGTGAAGTTGTGGTACTGTCTAAAACAACTTACTGGTCTAATAAAAAGCTGAATGGCCAATAGTAAGGAGGGGAAAGGACAGACGAGGCTGGCAGGCAGAGAAATAAAGAGGAGGAGGAATCCAGACTGGGGAGGACAGAAGAGGGAGGAGTGCGAGAAGCAGAGGAGGATGCAGGGACCAGCTACCCAGCCACACAACCAGACAGAGTGAGAAGGAGAGAAAAGGCATGCAGGAATAGAGGAAGATAAAAGCCTCAAGGCCAAAGATAGAGAGGAAAATTTAAGTCAAGAAAAGCTGGCTAGAAACAAGCCAAGCTACGGCCAGGTATTCATAACTAAGAATGAGCTTCCATGTATGATTTACTTGGAGCTGGGTGGCGGGACCCCCAAAAGAGTAAAGAGTAATAAATCCAACTACATTTTAGTGTTCCAACACAGGCCTGTATTTCCAAGTAGGGTCTGAGAAAGCTGAAGGAAAAAAAAAAAAGATAAAGCTCCTTTAGGACTCTCTGCCACACAGAGGAGCACTTAAAGAACCTTTTGTACGCTAAGTAGAAACAAAATTTAAGTAAAAAGTGCCTGTCACAATGCAGGGCACTGGCATTCTAGAGCTGGGTGAATAAATGAAGTTCCCAGTCACACACCTCCAACAAGGCTACGCTTTAGGCTTGGCTCTCATGACCCAGAAGTGGGTGGGGCAGCACCAAGACCATGGCGGAGGTCCTAGTTGCGATGCTTAGCAGTTTAAAGGCTCATGCAGTCAAAACTGACTGGAGATATGCAATAAAGACAGATTCAAACAGAAAAACAAAACAAAACAGGTTAGTGTGTATAAAAACGGATGTAGGTGTAAGAAAGAAAAGACAAAAGATATAGAAAATTATAGAAAAAATAATATAGTAGTCTTTCAAGAGAGAAGTAAAGTAATAAAAAAGAATAAGCCACATAGAGATGGGAGGCTGGATCATGTATATTGCTTTATTGGCGTTGAATTTTTTGATTGCTGGTTAAGTAAATGACAGCTGCTGACAGACATGGGATTGTGAACTAGACTGCTAAATGGAACTCAAAAAATGCATTGCTTTGGAGAAGAGGTTCTGCTTCTATTCCCACAGGAAACGAGAGGTCAGGGATTCCTTCAGGGTTAATATGGATCATGCTTGATTAGGGGAGACCTCCTGAATCTTGACAGGAGATTTACATACATACATACATACATATTCAACAAAGGTGACAGCTGGTCTTCCCAGGACTTGGTTATTATTTCAATTTTCTGAAGTTCCCCTAAAGATGCCTTTGTCCACAGACAACAGGAAGCTATCTAGAGAAAATGACAACCATATTCTTAAGAGTTGGGGTGTGGGTGATTTTTGGTTATTTGGTGGGTTATAAATATTTGTTATCATTTAGGGGAATATAGGATAAAAAACTACTATTAACTTCAGATATTTTGTATTGACATGGATTTTGGTATATTGATACAAATTTCAAGTTATTTTTGCTATACTGTATATAGGTTTCTACTTTTGCTTGGGGGATTGTGCTTATGCAGTTCATTTAAAATGCAATGTGTAATTAAGAAATGAGGGTAGCAGTTAATCTATAATAGTCAATCAATCTTGTTGCCACACTAGGTATGTTTTCAAGGTTAAAGTTTTCAAGGCTAAACAGGTATATTTTAGACAGATTTTCAAACTCTTCAAAGACCTATAGAACATGGAAGTTAAGAAGTTTAATAACCAAAGGATTTTCATGGAAATGAAACACATTTGCTCCTGGCAGCATGAATTCTTCATAAAAGGATGACAGGCATTGAAGAAATGCCACTTGGAGTTTGCTTTCAATGTGGCAAGGCTAGCCATTTGGGCAAGAACCTGCTCTTGCCTTGACTACTGACAGTGTGCTGTGTAGACTGAACAATCAGAAAGTGACTGCTGAACATTGCCAAGACAAAGCAGGGCAGTTCTTTGACATTCCTGCTTCACAGAAGAGTCTGCCAGGTATTTAAGGCCTGTAAGCCAAAGATGGATCCACCAAAGTTGCAGAGGAACTTTGTGTTACTGTCCAACAACCTCTGTTGTTAGGTAATATTACATCCTCCTGGGGTCTTTGATTGAGTTAAAGCAAGATGTAATTGTCCCTTAGTTATGATAGAAAGTAAATTAGGTATAAAACTTTTGAATCACTAAGATAAGATAGATAATGTAGTATTTTTCTGAACCTGCTAAATACAAATGGACTGAATATTGTAAATGTAATTCTTACTTGATTACTGTTTTGTTGTGTATAGTTTTACTATGTTAAAGTTCAAGTTCATTTTTATTTAGATAAAAGGGGGAATTATTAGTTTAGGATGTGTTATATTCACTTGCGCTGTGGAATATTTGTTTAATGATGCAAAGATGTGTTACATGTTTTTATGTTGCATTTGTTTAACTCTGCAAAGCTGTGTTACTTTGTCTGTCTAAACCCCTGAATAAGAACTGAATGGCCAATAGTTGGGCAGGAGAGGGAGAGGCGGGGCCTAGGCTGAGGAAGAGAAGAGTAAAAGCAGGAGAAGAAGAGGGACCAGCCTCCGAGCCACACAAGCAGCTATGGAGTAAGAAGAAAAGAAAGGGTAGCAATGTCAGGAGACATAAGTAAGCTATAATTCACCTCAAAGCTGTAAAGTACTGGATATTAAAATGTGGGAAGATACAGGACAAAGACACAGGAAAAAAGATGTGTCTAGCCACTGGGGTGCATCTGGAAGGAATGAGAAACTTGAAATGTTCACTACAGCAGTGAATTTATAGTTGGCAAATTACCTGACTATTTGATAATAGCTGTCAGAGAAATTTTAAATGATCCACAAACAAAGATTATCTGAGCTGACAGAGTCACCAACTACCATCATCTGACCATCACACGTCTGCAAGTATACAGCAAAGACACACTGTCCTACATGAATATGCATGGGACCGTCTCCTAAGATGTCTATCAGTTACTACCAACATTAGCCACATTCCCTTGCTTATCATCCAGGCAAGGGAGTTGCTAGTAGACTTACAGAGACTTAGACTTACCCACGAATACCAGGCTGCTGTACGTCTCCAGCATCACGTCCTTGTAGAGGATCCTCTGAGCAGCATCCAGGCCCTGCCACTCCCGCCATGTGAAGTCCACAGCCACGTCCTCAAATGACACCGAACCCTGTAATGACACAGTTCTCTTTCACCCAGGAACCATTAAGCCTTGGGAACAGAAAATGACACCCCAGTCTTCACTGGGGTGTACACTTAAATAGTATCTTACAGAAGGTGCAACTCAATTTGTATTCTGGTGTAGTTAGTTTCTCTAGTACTGTAGCAAAACAAAACAAATCAACAACAAACTGGCTAAAAGACAACCTGGGGAGGAGTTTGTTTGGCTTACAGGTGACAGTCCACCATCAAGGGAGCCAAGACCGGAACACATGACAGACGCCGAAGCAGAGAGCTCTGGTTACTGGAGAGCCATGATTTGCTCAGTTTCCTTTTTTATGCAACCCCAACCACCTGCCCAGCAGTGGCTCCACCCACAATGGGTGGACCTTCCTACACCAGTCATCAGTTAAAAAAATGCCCTACAGACTTGCCTCCAGGACAACCTGATGGAGGCATTTTCCCAATCCAGGTTGCCTTTCCCAGATGACTATAGCTTATGTCACACTGCCCATAAAAAAAAAGAAAAAAGAAAAAGAAAAAGAAAAACATAGTCTATTTTTAGGGAAAGAAAAAAATCAATACAAATACCTTCTGTGTTAGTACAATGATTCAAGAAAATGTAATTGTAGACTTTCCATGCACTTAAAATGGAAACAAAATCCAAGGAATAATGTCTATGTGTGTGTAATGATTGTGTCATAAAGAGCAAGGGGAAGAAATGCGTACCTCCAGCCATATAAAAAATAGTATCAAATCGGTGAAAGCAAGAACCTCGGTAAAAATATAAAATTTCAGGCTAGTGGCACAGCACTGTAATAATATCCATGCCCCAAGTTGCACGGCTGTGGGATCTGGTCCTAGCATCTCTAGCAGACTAGGTACTGCTGTTGGAATGGATCACTGGGGCTAAAGAGATGGCACGGAGGTTAAAGGCACTTGTTTTGCTTTCAGAGGCCCCTGGCTTTGTTCTCAGCACTCACACAGTGGCCCGCAACCACCTGTGCATCTGGCCCAAGTGATCCAAAACCCTATTCTGACCTTTCCAGCCACCAGGCATGAATGTGGTGTAGTCAAAACACACAGAATAACTAAATCCAAAAGGCACTCCTTCAAATGTAAATTATAACTCCATATAGGGTCACATAGGAATATAGAGGCCAAGTATTGCCAAATAAAAAAGTTTGGTAATACTTAAACAGTTTCTGAAAACACAACCAAAAATTAGTTCAGCGTCAAATATGCCATGATTCCAATGTGTTTGGGGCAGCATTCCCCCATATTGCATCAGGAGTAGTAAACATGCAACATACACCTTTTACTGCATGCCTTGACTCTCTGAAGAAGAAACATAGGAAAAAGCATGTAGTGCACTAAATCTATCATTCCATGTGAATGGATTCTGAGGAGTCTATCAAGAGCACTCCAAGCCCAGCTGTGTGTTGTAAACTGCCATGTTTTACTGTACTGTTCACAAAAACATAATGGCTCAATTACGTTTTCCTACTGCAGGTGGATCTCTGTGAGTTTAAGAGTTTAAGGCCAGCCTGGTCTACATAATAAGTTCCAGGACAGCCAGGACTACACAGAGAAACCCTGTCTTAGAAAACAAAGTTTTCCTACCATCATTTCAGTACTCAAGGATCAATTAGTATATATCTGAATTTGTTGTGTTAGCAAAACACACACATTCATTTCATTACACGATATCATTGCTTTAATCTTTAGGCAACTGATTGAATGCAGAGAATAAGTAACCAGGGAGTGCACAGCCCCAATTGCTACATCTAAAATGCAACCCTATACCATTTAATGTTCAGGATGTATCATAGAAGAAGGGAAGGAAAAACTCCAACAGCCAAACTTGTAGACACGATGGGGAAGTTGCACCCGTGAAGCCTGTGCACTACGGCTCCCTAGGCAAGATTTGCATACTGACAGTATCAGTTGAAATGTCAGTGTGGATGGGAGGGACTTAACAAGGCCCCACTCCTAAAGAGCCACAGGAAATGAATGGCCGCTCATCAAAGGAGACTCAGTTTTCTCCAGGAGGAGTCCCTCAGTAAGTTATCCAACCCCAAGTGTTAGGCATTAAATACATGCACTCAGGCATGCACAAACACACCCACACACACATACACTAGCAATGTAAGTTTATGAGTGATATATCAGTAACAATTATAGAAGTAGTCATCAATTAGAAAGAGAGTGGAAGAGACATGGTGTAGTCCAAGGAAGAGGAAGGAGAGATAAAAATGATATTCTCATAAATGAAACATCTAGTACCGTTTTCAGTTTTTTTTTTCTTGTGTCAAAGTCTCTCTTTGTAACCCTAGCTAGCCTAGAACTTGCTATGTAGACAAGACTGGTCTTAAATTCAATTATTGATTTCCCTCTACCTCACAAATGCTGGGATTAAAGGCATGAGCTATCACTCCCAGGCTACACCACACTTTTTATGAAAACTGATTGACTAATTAGAACTTTAATTTGGATTGTGGACAGGTTGGAATGGTGCAGTCCCACAGTTCAATTACAAACTACCTTGGATATTCTCCACTCCCGCCACCCCCGCCCCAATACCCAGTCTGTGTCTTACCTGATAGCCTTGTACCTATCATATGATGCCTTGTTAATTATTGGTTAAGTAATGTATCAGACCACAAGCTTCTAGCAACCAACGGCTAGGAATCAGATGACGCTGGAGACTCATACTTGAGGTCTTGCCACCTTGCTGCTATGAACTGCCTACCCAATGTCTCCATCAATGTATTTCAAGTGCTTTCATGCATTACTTTGATTTTTACCATAGAAGTACCATGAAATTGTTAGCATATTGAAACATGGAACTTGAGGTAATGTAAATCAGTGTTCCAAAATGATGATCACTCATATTTGGTTCCAAAATAAACTCTTGTCCCTGCTGAGGTCAGAGGTGTGATTTTGTTTTAAAGATTGATTTTATTTTTAATTATGTGCATGTGTATGTGCTTGTGCACGTAAGTGCAGCAGCCCATTGGTGTCAGAAGAGGTCAAAAGTCTGAATCTCTTGGAGCCACAAGTTACAGCCAGTTGTGAACCTCCCAACATGAATACTGGGAATGGAGCCCAAGTCCTCTGCAAGAACAGCACATGCTTTGTTTGTTTGTTTGTTTTTTGTTTGTTCGAGACAGGGTTTCTCTGTGTAATAACTCTGGCTGTCCTGGGACTCACTCTGTAGACCAGAGTGGCCAGGAACTCACAGAGATAGATGCGCCAGTCTCTGCCTCCTGTGTGCTAGGATTAAAGATGTGTTCTGCCAACACAGGCTGGAGTCATCTTCTAGCCTTGAAAATTGCATACAAATTAATTCTATTCTGTAGAAGGTTATGAGGTTCTGGTATTCACAGATATCACTAGAGAAATCAGGAATGGTATACATGAAGGCTTTTTCTCTTCAACAGGAGGAATTTTCATGATTTCCACCCAAACGGTTGGGAGTGGATGTTGTTTATAGCCTGGTTATCTTTGTTGTTTTGTAAGGCCAAGTTTCATCCTAATTCCACAGACTCTGAGCATTGTCTCTCAGTCAGCAGAACCCATTCTCATGAAAAGAGTTTTGATGTAGTCATTCCTTAAGCTTGTGATAAATGCCATGAGGAAACTTTTTTTTTCAAAACTGCTCTGTGTTTAAATATGTTAAAAAAAGTCGACTGCTTGGGGTCAGAAGTTTGAACCCGTCTAGCTACCTAAGCCATACTAAACCAGCTTTCCTTTTAATTCTTGCATACAGTTCCTCTACTGGCTGTGGCTATAGCATCTGCAGGAATCCCCACAATTAGTGCCCCATGTGAGGGTCTCAACCTTGGGGAAGGTAAGTGTGGTGGTTTGGATGAGAATGGTCCCCACGGCCCCTCAGATTTGAACACTTGGCCACCAGGGAGTGGACTACTTGAAAGAATTAGGAGGTGTGGCCTTGTTGGAGGAAGAGTATCACCAGGGGTGGGCTCTGGGGTTTCAATAGCCCATTCCAAGTCCATGGTCTCTCTTCCTGCTGACTGGAGATCCAGATGTAGAACTCTTGGCTAATTCTCTAGCACCAAGTCTGCCTGTGTGCTGCCACACTTCCTGCCCTGACCATAATGTACTAAACCTTGAACGGTGAGCAATACTCAGTTAAATGCTTTCTTTTTAAGAGTTGACATGGTCATGGCATCTCGTCACAGCAATGGAACACTGGCTAAGACAGTAAGAAAATTTTCCTTTAAGTAGAAATTAGGGGCAGAAATGTGGGCATCTTACTCAAGGGTTCATGACTGTAAGTGATAGAGTGGAATTAACATGGAGTCTTCCTAGTCTTCTGAGACAAAGCACTTTATAAAATTATTGAAATACTTGCTAAAATCTAATGGAGCAAAATATGCAAAGCAAGAGCTCTATAATTTTGTACAAGCAACTTTGAAATTTAATTCTTGGTTCCTTAAAAAAAGAACCATAGATATTGAAAATTGGAAATGTATAGGAGTCAATGTAAAAACAGCCCATGAGAAAGAAGTTAAAATCCCTGTCAATTATTTTGAAGTCTGGACTGCAGTAATGCACTGCTTGAATCCTCCTGAGGACCATAAAAAACAAAAACAAAAACAAAAACAAACCTCTGAATTCCATGGACACTTCTCACTAGGGGCTGCTACTCCCAGGGTTAAGGAGACTGACTTGAATATTCTGCCTCCCCTTCCAAAAGCCCCAAATTTATATCCATGTACAACAAATATTCATTCTCATCAATCCAACTCAGAAATTCAGTCTATGGGCCTCACTTCCAGAGACTACTTATGGAAGATGAGGAAAACAATGAACAGGAAATGCTTGGACATTTTCACACTTGACCCTCTCATGTCTGTCCTTACGACTTCAAATCGTCAGACCCAAATGTGCGTCAACATTGCCATTTACTTTTCAGTTCCTAAAGAATGTCAGAAAACTCATGGCTGGCAATGGCATTTACTGATAAACGTGGGAAATTTTAAG